CCCATATATGGCAGTGCCCCCCCCCCCCGGGACCTCGTTACGATCTTGCAATTATTAGCAAACAGAAACAGTACCGCCCACACTACGCCGCAAAATTTGAAAACGGAGGTTTCACTCTGAAAACGCATCAAATGTTTTCCGCGTCCAGATTAAGCCGAAGGAATCTAAAAACGCAACAATTTAATAACCGGTCATTTTGGAAATCACATGATTATCGTGACGCCATCATTTTCAAAAAACTCCATTTTCAAAATACATTCCTTCCCACACGGCAATGCAAAGCCGACCTTTTCAAACTCAGTCCGGTTTTAAGAGCGTTTTCGAAAATTTAAAGCCACGTTTTCGTGACAGATTAGTGTAGACGGTAGGCCCAACCGTAGATATAAAGCTGCGTTTTCAAATTTCTCCGGCGCAGTGTGGACACTGCCTAAAAAACCGGATTCTCTCGCAGGCTAATTAAACGGAAGCTTGAGGCAAAAATTCCAACTAGTTGGAGGCTGACCACTTGGCTATTTACAAAGCGTGGAGAAGTTGATTTCAGGACAGAACATACAATTCAAATCCAATTCAATTTAGGGCCTGTTTACAAGGAGGGAGGGTTACCCTAGCAAGCGGGTTAACCTTAGCTGGAGGGTAAAAAATAGCCCGGGTTTACAAGCAAAATTTCACAGGTACGGTAACCCTACAACCCGGGACAACTTAATGCGCGGCTACACTCAAAGGCTATGGAAACAATTAGAAAGTTAACCCGGGTAGGCGGGTTAACCCTACCTGGAGTGTTTACAAGGGAAAAAGTTAACCCGCCTGCCAGGGTAACCCTAGCACGAAGATAGGTAACCCACCTACCCGGGTAACCCTAGCTGCCTTGTAAACAGGATGACGAAAAAAAAAGGAACTGTGTGAGTGCCAGGGTAACCCGCCTTGTAGGGTAACCGTCTTTCCTTGTAAACAGGCCCTTATAGTGGTATGGAAGGGTGCTTAATTCTTGTATTAATTTTTTATTAACTGTATTAATTATTTATCTATTAATTGTAGTTATTTTATGTATCTTATTAGTACACGACCCCACAAGCTTGTTAGCTTTAACGTCTTTTATCGTGTATAAATAAAGGTTGTATGTATGGAAGAAGATTCGAACTAGTAACGTCGAAATTACTGATAACCAATGCAGCACCCTAACCACTAGGGTCCACTTGATCACGTCATCTTATTTTCGTTCTTCATCAACACTATAACGTCAGTGCATTTACTGTGGATGATTTGGCAAGTTGTGACTCCTGTCATGGCAAGATCGAAGATCTAAGACGACAACGGCAACGAGACGTCACCGAATAAAAGGATTAATGAGCAGAACAATGGCTATGCACGTGCGTTATAAATCTTTGTAGATTTCGTACTGCCGTCCTCTGCAAAACAACGTTAAATAACCAAGTTGAATCGCCTTAGCTTTGGGACATTAATCGTGGGAACAGCTATGTTTCAGTGGCTGTACTGAAACTGACGCTGTCACGCAATGTATCAAGAAATCGTAGCTTATGGAGGGGACCTCTACCTGCCAACCATAAACACAGGACGAAAATACTGGACATTGTCATATTACGTTATATCTGTATGTAAAATGTCGGTTGTTCATATAAAAATGTTGATTTTAGTAACAGACTGTAGTTGAAAGTCAGCTAATGAAATCATTCAAGCTATTTTAAGAATGAAGGCATTCTCGTAATCTTTGATTACCGCTAGTAAAATTAATATGCCATTAACAATTCTGGTAGCCAGTAGATGCTACTGAAACCAGCGAGAGTACCAGTAAATGATCAGTATGCCAGAATTTCACTCCACCCTTGCTTACTGCACCAACCATAATTCCCTCTCCCTCAATTGAAGGACCAAATGGGGGAATTTTTTGGGCCATTCCAATTTATTCCATTCTTCCTCCCTAGCTGTTGATGTGCTAAGCCGAAATTTACCCACTATCAGAAATAAACCAGCTCTGCAGTATGGGGTGGGGAGGCCATTTGTCCTCCATATTCAATCAAAAATATTACAAGGATCAGTTGATACTGACAGAGCAGCCCTGTCATGAGTTTTGTAGCCCCTTTAGAAAAAGTTATCTCATCAACTGGAAAAGGAGGGGTTGGATAGTCCTATACTGACTGCAGGGGAGAATGGCCCTAACTAACTCCTTCATGTTGTTTTTTTAGTTTTTCAAACCGATATCTTCTTGACATGAATATTTTACACGTCAGTCACTGAACAAAAATTTGGTTATAAAAATATTAATCAGTTCAAACTACCCAATATGGTATTTGCTCTCTTCATTACACTGGTTCCAGCCTCTGGAATTCACTACCAATTACTATCAGGCAAATTACTCCATTTTCTAGATTTCGTAAAACTATAAAAGAAAATTATTGACAGTTATAATAATATTACTAGTTCTTAAGTTGAAATGTAATTAATTTCTTATGTAGTTAGATCTTGAAGAAATACTTTTAACCTAAATTGTTTATTTAACATTGTATTCCCTCTGCTAAATTTAGTTACTTTGGGGCACCTACTCGATTAGTTCCATATATAAACTATTTAGGTGTCCCAAACTCCACACAATCAACCTTGTATTAAAACTATTTGTCTTCCTTTATCTCCTTTTCTTTCTCTCTTTAACACTTTATATTTTAATCACAACTGTAAATTATTTCATTAATGCTATTTATCATATTCTATATGTTATTTGTGTACATTTGTATGTATTCTATTTTTTCTGACACTTGTGTAAAATTAATGTTTGTGGGAGTTTAAACTGAACTGAATTGAATAGCCCTGTGGTACAGACTTGTTTATCCTACAAAGTTTCTTTGCTCCAGTCTACTCCGTAAAACACAGATCCTTCAGGATAGAAACAAGCCTCTCTTCTAATCCCAAATTTCTGTTCAAGTTCCTTTACTATTTCTTCCTCTCCACCCTGAAGTGCCTTGGTCTCTTTCCTGACTTTGTTGTCTCCCAGATATGTTGAAGTTACCACTTTGCTTCCAGCAAGAGTTACTCTTCCCCAGGGCATTGCTATCGTGCAAATGCGATCGTGGGTGAATAGCGACTCTGGGTGTGTTTGATGATAGAGTAACCTTTCATGGAAGTCGTCTGCCGTTCTCGGAATGACATCAAATTTGTATCTTGGGGTCCACTCAGCATCGGTGGTAAACGTTTCCTTTGCCACTTCTTCGCGACCAGAGTTATCGACAATGATTTTAATTCTGTCTTCGACGAAATAATCATCACCATCTCTTCGTATTCGATAAACCCCACTCTGTTGTACTTGAGGATCTGCCGAGCCGCTGAAACGAAGAGGCGTGATGTAAGAATCGCCAAATGCAACATCGCTCAACCAGGTACAGTCTTCAATTTCGACCGTGAGAATCATATGATCAAATGACGGACCTAGACGTCCTGTTTTTCGGCTGAACACCATCCCAGCATGTTTCTCGTGTTTAAATCCAAAATAATTGAGCAGAAGAGAGAATATCATGTTGAGCTCACAGCAAAATCCACCGCGGTGTCTTCTGACGACTTTGTCGAACAACCAATCCTTAGAGAGAACTATTTTCTCCTTTCCAAACACGCTCAAGTTTTCAAAGGGCACTGACAGCATGTGACACCGATGAAGTTCGGACAAAGCATCGATAGTTGGTTCTATGGGACCTGTATAATGAATACGAGCTAAATATTCCTCTACTTCGGCTGGGGTGAGACAGTCTGGTTCCATTAAATTTGTAAGATTTGTAATAGCGTAAGGACCGTCGCGTTGCCTGACTTGTTGACTAAACGAACGCTCTGTAGGCTGCCAGTAGGCTGCTCTGTACATGAGCAGATAGGGAAACCGCTGTGATGAACGCTGGCTCGCAATCTGGAGGCTTATGACTCGAGCTTTGAAAATGGCGGGCGAGATGTTGGGGAAGAACGAAAAAATTCGAATGTATGTAGGTTAGAGGTACTTGTCTGGAGCAAATGTGGTAAAGAAAAGGAAAAGAGTTGGACACAAGTGTTGTGCGGCTGCAAACTCTAATAATGGAAGCAAAACCCGACCTGAAATATCATTTCCACTACTGAGTTTCCTTCGGATAAGCCAGATAAACAAAGAAGAAAAAGTGGGAAATACTTATAAAAAGGGAAGATGCCTATTTTACTTCGGTAGGAAATAATTTTTGTTGTTCCGAGCAGTTCTTGCCAAGTGATTTTAAACTGAGTACACTTATTGAAACTGGGAGGCGTACCCTCGGTTTTTCCTTGTACAAACGGCAGGTATATTTTGCAGGTTGCAGGTTGAAATTTAATTATAACTGGAAACCCGCTGGCACTTAAAGGAAACGTACAGGTGGTAGACTTACCGTGACTGTTACATGTCACTGTTTACAGTCGCTCAGAAAGGTGGCTACCACCTAAGCCAAACCGGCCGAAGCGATGGGAGGAGAGTATATTCCTATGATTTTAATCCTGCAATGAATTATTGTTTTTGAAGAAACATCTGAAATATCATCTGAAATATCTGCTGAATTTAGTTTCTTCCCTGTGAGTTCCAAAATGAAAGCACACTGAGCTTGTGCTAGTATATTCCATCAGTTAAAATCTTATGTTATTTCATTTCTTTATTTATTTGCTTCATTTGTGATGGCAATCTTCTGTTGTTGAGGGACGACCCAAGCCAAATCCAGAATCAATGGAAACATCTGTGGAGCGGCCATCCAGATGGCTTTGAAGAGATTTCACTGGTCTCGGCGTGTCGATCGATAAGTACTTTTAGCGGATCGATCGTGTTTTCGATGGACATGAGATCATTGCTCAAACCAAGTGCGATCACAAACATGTTGGGAGCGTACGAAGTTTCTGGTTTCTGTACACAGCGTAACAAGTTAAAAGATTGCCAAAGAAGGCCTCAAAATTAATAACAGCGTGTTTTCACTATGTGAAAGAGGCGAACTACTTTATGTAAGAACCCCTGATGAGAATATAGGTTAGTAATTATTTTTAGTGCTAGCGGTTTTCCCGTTATAATTAAATTTCAACCTGCAACCTGCAACCTGCAAAATATACCTGCCGTGTACAAAAGTTGATGAGGAATCTCTGTGTAGGGCAAAAAGATGCAAGGCATCTGAGTCTTGCAAAGAAGAAGTGAATACCCATCAGCTTCAATCAACTTAGGAATTAATCAGTTTTCATGCCTCATAGGTAAACAACAACAACAAAAATTCCCAAAAACAATGTTGAATGTGGAAGGACAGTGATTCAAAGACAGCCATCGATGAATTTTGAATCTTTTTCCTTGCTTAATATTTCAGCAAGATCTTTCTTTTAGGTTTGATATTTCAGAACTAGTAGTGTCAGATAAATTATTGCATGGATCAGTTTCCTGTATTTGATGTTGGGGAGCCTGCCTATTAATTATTTACCTGAAGTTTTTTTAGGCTGAATTTGAAAACACAATTATAAGGTGCAGAATTGACTGCAGAGAGATAAAAGGTCAGACACCCAAGACCTGGACAAGCAGAGTGAACTTTACTCTGAATAAAAGTCTGACAACACATTTTAAGGCCTTGTAGGAATTTTCTTTAATGTCATGGATTTGATAGACAGCATTTTCTGGGAAGCAAGAAGGTTATAATCTTCATCCCTTATGTGAGACCAAGTAAATCAGAGCTGACAATAATTTTACCAATTTTCTAAGGAAAACTGTTTTCCAACTATGAACCAGAACTGCAAATGTAAGGATACAAGCTGGAATGGCTATTAGGAGAATCAATGGATGGCATATATTTGATGGTGTAACTCCACTAAGGTTGTGTAGAGTTGTTAATCAACCCTGGTTAGTGAGCTATTTGCTTGTAAACTGGCAGGAAAAAAAAGTTATCTAATAATTCCTGACACCTAATATTTAATTTGTCATTTGGTAGTGAATGTAAACAGAGTACATGATATTGTTCATCAGTGGTTATTAAATATTTGGTGATTTCCACCATACTGAAATTGTGCATTATGTGGCTTCATGTTCTATTTTCTGGCACAGGGTGTAACATAGAAGGACATATGGTCTGGTGTATAATTTGCTAATGACATAAAAGTACAATTGCATTTGACCTCATTGAGAATGTCCTACACTGTATGATCTTTTAGATTCCCAATTGTTTTGCACTATTTTGAAATATTCATTGAAATATTCATTACCAGAGAAAAATTAGAAATAGCTGAATTCTCTCATATTAAATGCTGGACAAACTTATTGGAACTATGATATACATTATTTATTCTGGCTTTAGCAATAATCACATCTTGTAAGGCCATCTCTAGGCATTAGGTAAGCCAATTCATATATATTATATTTATCATAAATTTTTCAATATTATGTGGCATCTCCTACCATTCTATGTCCAAGGCAATTTGCTCATTAAAAATTCTCAGTTACTTCCAATTTATTGCCAGGACATTCCAAAGTCTGTTCACAACAAAGTGTAGTTGTTGTACATTGTACATCATAAACAGAAACTGAAGTACATATGACTCTTGTTTACTTTTAAACCAGTGTCAAACATTTTGCATATCCCAGAGCCCACGCGTCTTTTGGTCAGCGCCTGACCAAAAGACGTGGGCTCTGGGAACGAGATTGCCATGTTTTAAACCAAGGTACGCAAGCGCCGTGAAACCAGAACTCCTTATTCTCGTCCCCAGAGCCCACGATCCTTCTGCCCTGCGGCAGGGATCGAGAGCTCTGGCCGGACCCGATTTTCTGAGCATGCGCAGAGTATTCGTTTCGTATTCTCAGCCAATCAGATTTGCCAGATTTGACGTGAAGTCCGTGAATCGCAGACTTCCGGTTGTGCACCAGCCCAGAGCTCTCGATCCCTGCCACAGGCCAGAAGGATCGTGGGCTCTGGAGACGAGAATGGGAACTCCTAAAATCTTGGAGTCTGGAAATTGATTATTCCAGAGCTTCTTGTCTTGGCGCTGACCAAAAGACACATTGTCTCTAGGAACGAGATTGTTTGAGAACCGTAACGAGCATGCACATAACCCTCAATGTGTTTCGCCGCCATTTCTGCCTTCAATTTGATAATTTTTTTTTATTCGCTATTAGTACTTTTTAACAAAAGCTCTGAGACAATCCGGACAAAGGGAATGAAGGGCCAACTTTGTGTCAGATTAGCGACAAGTTTCAGGCTGAAATTTTTGTGTGGAGCGAGGTGAATTTCACTCGCTTGGTTGCTGTGTCAGGGGGATAACGAAACTGAAACTTTAATTTTCTGTTAAAATTTTAAGTTCATTACCACTCATCTTCACACCCACGAAAGAGAAGATTTCCTTTGCAATTATGCTTCTCTAGTTTCTATGGAAAACTGAGCGATGTCGAACTGTTTCATGTCTGTCATCATATATCGCGAAGCCTCAGAATGTAAGTCTTTAATTAAACTATTTCTCAAATGTTCAGAGTTGTATATTTCAACTTGAGATATAATTAAATAACCTTTTCTGTCTGAAGATTTGGCCGTCTTAACTTACTTTTGAACCACCGCATTCACTTTATGATTTTCCTGTAACATGTTGAGTTTGACGACTTTCTACGAGTGATTTAAACTTGAAGCCAGTTACCGATGACTCAACAACACGGAAAATAACTACTAGATTTGCATGTTTCAATAATACAGTGATAGTTAAGGTGTTGGAAACCTCCAATCCTTGCTCTTCAGTACCAGTTTGAACTCTCAAATGTGCAAGCATTCTTATTTCTGCATGGGAATTGCCAAAATAGAATTGCTGGGTAGACTCAATGTGAACTTTTATTGGGTTGAGGTATTTTATTAACAAGCTATTTGCAATTTCTTGGCCCATGGAAATAAAGAAAGCAGCTTCTGAGGCAGCAAAAAAATTAGTGCCAAGGACTTCAAAAAGGGCAGCAAAATGAGGTAGTTAAGACAAATTTCCTGCACAATCTCCACCACAAATACTTGATTAGGACCATTATTTAAGCAGTTAAGTCTAGAAGATCAAAACAAAAGTCTGAGGATGATTATGGAGAAACAAAAACAAAAATTATTAGTTTCGAATATAGACCACAGAGATGGTGATGATTCTCAATTTTGCCAAGGGACCCATCCGGTATTCACTGATTGATAAATGATTATATGATATAAATCAGAGGCAGTTTTTAGGGCTAATCTTAAGACTTATCTTTTTAAGCGTGCATTTGATTTGCAGTTTTTTACTTTTTATTTGTAGTCTAATTGTATTGTATAGCGTATTTAATTCTTAGGATTTTAACTTTTAGGATTTAGGATTTTTGGTTTTTAAAGGATTAGGATTTTAATTTTAGGATTTTAAACTTAGGATTTTAATTTTAAGGTATTGTAAAGCGCCATGGAAAATTAATGGAAAATGGCGCTATATAAATGTGTATTTATTTTTATTTATAAATGCCAGATGCTTTGTCTGAAACTGAAGCAGACCTCTTGTAGTAATAAGCAACGGTAACCCTTACCAACATGGAGTCTAGAAATACAGAAATGCTTCAGTTTATCGCGTTGATATTACACCACGACACACACACACGAAAAAATACTCGAATGAAATATTACACCGTGATGACTACAATCTGGCTCACACGGAAATAAATATCCATATTACGTAGTGGAGTTCCCGCTCACAGGTTTACAATGGATTATTTATCCCCGCTCCTTCAAAATGTCCAGAATTTAGATGTAGGGCTTGAACTGGAACTTTACGTTAGATGTTTGAACGTGAAATACCCAAAACATTTACAAAACTTTACAAATGCTTCCCACTTAGGAAAGTCCGCCATGTTTTTTTTTCCCACGAAACCAGCACTTAGTCTTGCTCGGCCAAATTTCTTAACTGTGCCGATCATATAAACTCGGTTCCAGGCCTCGCTGCCAGCCCTCCTGCGGTGCAACTTCCGGTTTTCTCTGGAATCAGTGTAATGGAGGCGTGAGCAACCACAACTTCAGAGCATTTCAGCCCAGACGAAGATCAGGGATATTTAGCTCATATTCATTATACTGGGTCAGTAGAACCAACAATCGATGTCTTGACAGAACTCCAGCGATGCCGTACGTTGCCTGTGCCGTTTAAAACACTTGAGCGTGTTTGCAATTGGAAGGAGAAAATTGTTCTCTCGAAGGATTGGTTGTTCGACAAAATCTTGCGAAGACATCGCGGCGGATTTTGCTATGAACTTAACAGAATGTTTTTTCTTCTCTTGGATTATTTTGGATTCAAACAGGAGCTACACGCAGCTTCAGTATTTGACCACAAGACAGGCGACCCAAGTCAACCAAGTTATGTGATCCTTTCGATAAACATTGAAAACGAGATCTGGGTATCTGACGTTGGGTTTGGTTTCCACCAGGAGCCATAGTCGGGGACGGAGACCGTAAGTCTTGGGATCCGCGCGCACCTATGATATGGGACAATTTTTCTATTTTCAGAACAAATTGCGCCATCCTGACGTC